TCCCCCGGCCCGAGATGATAAAAATCCGCCCCCCCTCCCCACCGCCGACGCAGAGTCTGATACTGCTGCCCCAACGCATCCCCGCTCGACGACAAATTCACCCCCGTCGTAAAGACCACAAAGTCTTCCTCCCTCCTCCCCCTCCTCCCCTTCTTTTTCACAACCAGAGCCAGCCGCCGGCAACACCTCACCCAGCGCCCTCGTCGCCACAAACCCCAGCACGAAACCCCGGTGCTTCCTCGCCGCCCGCACCGACAGCTCCGTATGGGCGCCCGTAGCCATCGAGCCCTGGGAGGTCATCTCGGCCAGGATCAGCAGCGCGCGGCCCTCGGCGCCATACGCGGTCTGGAACGCGGGGGACGAGGCGGTCTGCGCGAGCGCGTCGACGATGCCGGGCCCGGCGAGCATGGCGCAGTTGACGATGTGGGCCCATTCCGAGATGCGCAGGGAGCCGCCGTGGTATTGTTTCTGGACGGTGCTGCCGATGTCGACGAATTTGCGGTCCTCGAAGAGGAGGAAGCGGTGTTTGGTGGCGAGGCTGGAGAGGCTGGAGAGGGTGGAGGGGGTGAGGTCGGTGAGGATGTCGATGTGGGTTTTTAGGACGGTGATGTAGGGGCCAAGACCTGCATTTTGTATTTTTGGGTTGTTAGTTTTTTTTTTTTTTTTCTTTTTTTTATTTCTATTTTTGTAGCCATTTACAAAAAAAAAATCCTTTTGGGGATGTTGTTTGGTATAGAAAAAAAAAGAAGGGAAGTTGAATTTTGCTATACCCCTCCGCTACGGAGTAGAGCAACGATTGGAGCTGGGGTTGGCAAAATTCTGAACCTACGATCAGCGAGATCCAGCAATTCTTTCGTAGTTGTCACATCAGCGGAGAGCACGACATTTGATTTCTTTTCTTCCGCTATTTGGAACAGTCGTTTGGCCAGCGGGTTTCCGTGGCGACTTGCCCGCACGGAGTATGGGATGTGGGATTTTGAAGACATCTTCGTTTTGGCGGAGGGGTTGTTATGCGGGGAAGCACGATGCCCGTCTGCCGGAGTGGTCAACTTATTTTCCCCGTTTCTCTTCTTTTCCTATATTTAGGCTGGTTGTTTGTTTGCTTTCTTGTAGGGAACTTGGACTTGCAATGCGGAGAGATAGAATGGATGGTGGGAATTGAAGAATGTCAGATGGAATAGTTAAGTGCTTTGGGTTTCTTCTCCAAGTTTTGTCCATGGCGTTTGGCCTGGCTTGCTCTATCCAAAAATTGGCTGCACAATACCCAAATAGGGTTAGCGCACCGTTTGATGGGAAAGCTCCATTGAACCTCCTTCTGCTTCCTCTTGACAACATCATTCCGGTCATAAACACAGTCATCCCACCTTCGCGTCATCAAGCTATCCGCACGCTACGTTCTTGTAGTTATCCTACCCGGTGTCGTTCAGTGAGAAAACTCTCTCGCTCTCTCATCAAAAATGTCCGCTGCATCTCCCATGTCCTCCAGTGGCGACCAGGTGCAAGGTTCCAGCCAGATCCATTTCCGCTTTTGCCGCGAATGGTGAGTTTTTCTTCACTTTCAAAGACAAAGGCTTCTGGGGAGAGGAGACAAAAGAAAAGAACAGCCACAAAATCAACGAAATTCAAGACTAACATTTCGCATTTCACAGCTCCAACTTACTCTACCCAAAAGAAGACCGCAACACTAACACCCTCATGTTCACCTGCCGAACGTGTCACGTCGGCGAGCCCGCCTCCTCCCCCTGCGTATACCAAAACAAACAGCAACAACCAAGTAGGCGACACGGCCGGTGTGACTCAAGATGGGG